TATCGCGGATTCCTGGAACGGTCCTAACGCCGAGAATACCGTTTCCTCTATTCTTCCCGGCTGTGCGCGATCTGATCGACGCATGGTGTAACGATCCTCGTACAAAATTAAAAAATAATTTTTCACTAAGATGGATGTTCTTTCTATGAAAAAGGATTAGTGACACTTCTGTGCGCTATGAAAATGTTGAAAAACAATTTAATGTTGTAATAGTCAATAGTTACGTGTAGATGAAAAATGTGGCCGAATATAATATCATATAAATTTTCTTGTTTTGTACCTTGTGGTTCATTTACAAGTAAAGTTCTTTTTTATAAGGTCAATCGACACTTTGAGAAATACAATGGGTACGTTTTTTATAGGATAGTGCGTTAATTATAGAAGTTATAGGTATATTATTTCATAGATTTAATATTTTAAGTATTTCATATTTTAAGTATTTAGTATTTCGTGTATATTGCACGTATCGCGTCATATATATTCTTCAGAGAATTGTTTCGAAATCGCAGGAATTCGATAAGTTTCTGCAACACTATGAAGGCGACAAAATGGCGGAACGCCGAGATTCTCGCGATCCAGAACCTCACGCCATGTAATTTCTGTCGCGTCGAAAGAAACGCCAGCTAAGGGATTCGCGTTTCTTTAAAAGCGAAGAAGTCGAGAAACGGTCACGAATGTTCTGCAATCAAAAAGTTGCACACTCCCGACTGTGAGAATCGAGGGAAGCGATTCGCGCCCCGAAGATCATGTAATGGACGTTATACGGTTGGAGTTGTTTAATGGTACAAAAAAAAAGTGTTAAAGGGTAAAATATTTTCCAGCAGATTAAGAATAACCGTCCTTCACACACCGATTTATCGTTCGACCTTTCGTCAGTCGTCGTCGAAACGTCCGTAGCTCGAGCCACCGCGTGTTTTTCGCTCTCGCCGGAAACGGGCGCACGCCTTTCAAAGCTCGATTTTCTTTCGCATTTAATCGAAATTCGCCAGTAATAAGTTCAATAATGAGTTTCGAAATTTATTCGTCAGCTGCACGCTACGCCGAAGCAACGAGCACGATTATTAAATTCTCCTCTGTAAATTCATTTCGTTCGTCGATTCGTGTACACGTTTCTCCGTACGCCCCTAGTCACTCGTTTTTGCGAATTTTGTTTGCGACCCTTTGTTCCTCGTTGTTGTCTCGAATCGTGGCAAAATTTTTTGTCTCCATTGTGCTACGTCGTTTCCGAACACTAGTTGGACAAACGAATTGAATCTTGAAAATCTTTTTTTCACTAAACGCTCCGGTAAAATAAAGTGAGTAGTAACTATTAATTTTCTGTATTAAACATTCACGATTCAGACGTTAAGTACCCTAAAATACCCCGTTAAGTTACCTATAATACTATACAGGATGGACCACGAAACGTGATTAGCTTAAATTATTCTACTGCTAGCTGTTCGATTGAAAATTTTTCCAGCTAGTATAACCTGACTCAAGAATAGCTTTAAAATGATTGTACCAAATTTTTTTACAACCCTTGTTTCCAAAGTTTTCTCTAATTTTCTATAATAATTTTCTATCATTTTTTCACGCCCATCTTTTAACGGATGCTGAGACGAATTCGGTAAGCATCACACCAAATAATATTTTTTCTTCTAAATCAAAGAAACATTAAGAAAGTATAATTCACCTTAATTAAAACGATGTTCAAAATATTATCCAATAGCTGCAATACACTCGCGTAAACGGTTAAGAAACGAGTGCTCAGTTCTATTTATGACACCTGCATTGACAGTTAAACCTCCAAAAAAAATTTCGATCGAACATCTAGCATTATAATAATCCAAGCTGATCACGTCGTAGTCCACCCTGTGTATTTTTCGTTCTAAGACGTTGGGGTGTTTTATTCCGACAACCTAATTCCAATAAATTGCTCCACCAAGAACATTCCTCTAGAAGCAGCGAGGATCCTCAGGTGTGAAAAAGCTCACGGTCCGGATGTAATAATCTCCAGGTCCGTCTTTGTTCCCAACGAACAACACACCCGCGAAAAAGGGTTAATCGTCATTCGATGATCAAAGAAACCTCCCCAGACGTGTCCATTTCAAACGAACAACCACACACCACGGTTGTTTCTCAGCTTCGCAACTTCATTCCCCCTGCCCTTTGAGGTGTGACAATCCCGTAAAGGAAATTCCCCCCACTGTCACGGGGCTTATTTTTGCAAGTCCCCCGGTAAAATAAACATTGTCCGGTCGGAAGTTTAAATTGGTTTATTCGGCGTCTCTGCCCGTCGCAGGCACAACGTTTCGCCGCCCCCGCGTCCAACGAATAAATCAGCTCTCTGGTGGTCGCGCCGTCGTCGGTGAAATCGGGCGGAATTTTATTAAAAATTTCGCGTGTCGCTGAAATATTCATTACACGCGAATTTCAATTATCTGCGGCCGCGGGAACAACGCGGTTCGTTCGTGTTTGCGTTCATATTCGTCCTGCGACAGGGAGGATTATACCGCCGCGGGAACAGAAAGTCATAGGAAGGGTGGTTGGTTGGGAGGGGGTGGTTGGTGGCACGCGTGGCGCATCATTAGACCGTTAAAAAGCTCGATTACTCTACTTGGGGGAGTATCATGCCCGGGAAGGAATGGTTTTAAAAGGTTCGCCGAGAGGTTCGCCATGGAACCTGTGCTCTCCGACAGTTTTTCCTTCCTTTCCGTTTATTCGAGGAATAAACTTTCTATTGAAACTCGCGCGCGGGATGGATGAGCAAACGTTTCCGCCCCTCGGAATAGTCACGGAATAGTCAACCCTTTCGCGAACCGTGGACGGATTCGAAAACTGGTATCGCGGAATATCGAATATTTGTTATTTCAGATCCGTGTAATTTGGTGATTAAACGTGTTTGACGATAATTAAACACGCGCGTACAGTGACGGCAGTTGCTGTGAATGGAATAAATGTTTTTCAGCGTAGCTCATTTTATTACATTCATGGATAATTTCGAAAACGCCCGGTTCGAGATAGTGAATGTAATGGATTCGGCTCTGGTTCTGCTCTACCGTGGAATTTCTGTTAATTATTATTCTGTTATTTTCGTGTTTGCAGCGCGGAAGGTGTATTCAATAACAAACAGTAACATGTCTGATGAGGACTCGACTATGAAAGAGGAGAAATTTCATAATCGAATAATTGTTGAATTTTCACTTTAATAACTTTCGTAAGGAAGTCTTCGTTACGCAATTTCGCAGGTTAACAGATTGAATCAGGAAACACGAAATTAAATAAAAATTTATTTCTTCTATTAGGAATTTTCAATTCCTTGAAAATGAAATTGAAACTTTTGGAAATAGTCGGAAATGTTCCCATTTCATTGTGTTCTGCACAATTTGGATATGCTATAGATGCCATAAAATCGACAGTCCAGTTATTATATTGCCGGGTGGATTTAATGAATATCCTGAAATTCATTAAATATGCCACCTACATAGGTAATTACGCTGAAACACCAGTAATCATTATCAGTTTCGAGTTAATTCCATTTGCCGTGATAACCGTACTGTAATAGACTGCACATTCGGTTCAAGAACCTAATTCCAGAAGGTGTTATGAAATCCGAGGTGATCGATAGATTCACGAATAGAACAGCTTCTGAGGAGCATTAAGTTACAACTCGTACAACGAATCCGGCGTTATTCCTTCGATAAAGACATTCATCCCATAGGAAACGGATGATAATTAAACCCATCGAAAATTTATCCCGAGGTAGGCTCCAGCTGAGACTGTTTAGTCTGCTGCTGGAACTCGTTCCTTAAAATCATTTAGAGACTTATTTCCTGAAAAATTGACAGTTGACATTTGTTGTATATAACTTCGCGAATTTTTATTGAAATTTTCGAACCAAATTCCACCATATAGATTTTGAGTCAGGGACTACTTATTTCCAACGATTCTACTTTCAGACGAGTCATTGAACTGGAATCACGTTCACCATCTGGACGTACTCCCCCCACTTTGATGCATTATGTTTCACTTAATTTTTAACAATTCGGGAGTTGATTGCTCTTCAAATACACGTTACACCCGCACTGCAAAATTGTGAAACCGTGCAAACGATTCGAGTTATGTATATTAGTCGCTCTTCAACCGAAAAGACACCGTTGATTCTAACCGTCTAATGTACCTCATTGAGGGAAACGCCTGTGCTCCTAAAAAAAATTCGCCCCAATTGTCGATTTCCTTCCGCCCCTGTACGAATCCAACGAAACGAACATCCACGAGGACACTTCGAGCGACGCAGGGAATTTGTACCCGAATCGTTCAAAAAAAAAAAAAAAGAATAAAAAACGTCGAGCGTGCCCACGATGGGGCAGCGTCGAATGGGAAAATCTCGTCCGAGGGGCCGGGCCTCCACTTCAACGAACTCTCGAGCATGTACGCCGATGACTTTCGCCGTAACTCTTTTCGACAAAAACCAACAAAACAAAATACAGAATCATCCCCCATTTCACCACGGAGAGATCGTAGCCCACGACCGTAGACGTGGAAAACTCCTACTATCGCACTGCCTCTTCGAACTCGCGTTCTCGATCGCGCCAATTAAGCGTATTCAGGGGGTGAGAATCGAGAAAAAACATACGCGATCCGATCCGCCTCGATTTCATCGACCTGCTGTGTAAACATGTGAAATACCCTGGACAAAAAAAATCCAATTTATATCGACTATGTTCGCGCTAGCGCCGAACGGAGAGTGAGGGAGGACAGAGATTAAATTCCCGGGGCGAAATTAGAGATTAAAGCGTTAACGAGTCCTGGCAAGATGATAAGTTACGCGGGGTTGCACGCGCCCTCGCCGCCTTGGCGACGAATAGAAAATCCACCCTTTGAATTTTTCACTCTTGGAGCCATAGTATGTGGCTCGACAGGACGGGCCAGGTGGACTCTCCTCCCCCTGAGGTGTCGTCCCAACGATCGAAGAACAAGAAGACGGAGAGAAGGAGAGAGAGAAAGGTAAACTGACTCACCTGTCCTAAGCAGGGAGCAGAGTAACAGCGCCGGCAGCCACATTTTAGTCGGACACTTCCTGCACCTGGAGTACGATCCGCCGATTGAAGAGCTACTCCACCCTGCTTGTAACCTCGAGTGTCTCATCGTTCGCTCGACATTTGTCGACTGCTCTGTGTGTATCGTCCCCTCTTTGCAATTTTATTAGTATAATATACTTCACCACTGGCGACTGCTGATAGTGTCCACTGGGTGCTCTTCGTCACTTGTGCTTAATGTATTCCTTTCGTGGTTTCAGGATATAGGTGGAGTTTTATATGTCCCTCCTGGGTCCTCTATCCGCGAGTTTTCGTTGGACTGGTCGTCGTAATTTACACTGGGATTGTTAATAACACTGGTTGGATACTTTTACTCACCGACGATTAGATTATATTTCTTTCTATGGGGTTGCTGGGGTTTCGTATAATTAGGGGATTGTTTTGCTACACTTTTCTGCAAGAACCACGGTTTTTGTTCTCTTTCACTATTTTTTTTTTTTGTTCTTTTTTCTGTTAGAATTGTCGGTACGATTCACCGTGGATTGTTGACAGAACCCTCTGGGTGCTTTTAGTCCCTTGTACACGAGACTGTTCTTCACTTGATGGGCTTGGGGCGGGGGTGTTGCACCGCCGTAGGGTGGGTTTGTTACGAGTACCTTTTAGAAATACAATCTTCGTTCGTTCGTTACAGTGAACAGTTCAATACACGCTTAAAGTGTTAATAAAATATCTAGCGTTAAGAATTTATGTTTATTCGTATATATTTACTTTCGACACAACTGGAGGGTTGAAACGTTACAAACTTCTCCTTTCGCAGACCACCATTTTCGTTATTCGGGTAGTTACAAGTCCATACAACTGGCGTCGGACTTTTAATGATACCCGCCGAACGATCTCGATCGATTAAGTCAGTCTATACTTTGCGTGGGGGGTGGCCACGGAGGAGTGGCGGACCTAACCCAAACCTGACCTCCTTTCTCTCTCTTACGTACAATCCCTTTAATTAAAATCCTAACAAATTGTTATCGAAATTCACTCGAGAATTCCCAGTGGCTTATACGCTATCACAAGTGCCCAGAAGAATGGTCTGAGAACCTAACTCTGAACAGTCTCCTCTAACTATAATAATCTTTCAGTCCTCTTTCGATCCTCGGCCAAGATTCTTAATCGAATCCACCAGACGACCTCAGTCACTTGAGATCCAAATCTGATTACAACCCCAGAGCCCAGGACGCGTCGTACGCCTCGCCAAGGTTTCTATTTAGCCCCCCTTCGCCCTGGAATCCGTCAGACCCACGGAGTCCTTCGGTAGACGGTACCGCCTCGACGCAACGGAATATTCCTCTCCGGTACCGTGCTCTAGCTGAGAAACTTGCGGAGGTCTGGTCTCATTAGCCTGCCCTTTCAGCTGGATCCTTCCGGGGTCATCCAGCGTCGAGTTTAATCAGCAAATCCGCCGATCAAACCGCCGACCCTTCGCGCGCATCTGTCCCCTCTCTCTCCCTCTTCACCCGAGTGGAAGACTAATTAGCACCCGAATTAATTATCTTCCGGCCCCTGATGTCTTTCGTCCCTTGGCTACCTTCATCCGAAGACACACGCACAGTTCATAACTCCACTGATTTTCCGCATTTCCCCTCCCCCCGTGTTTCCACTTCCTTCCGTCCCTTAATTATCGAGTCTTGCCCGTCCTCTTTTCCTCGAGCCTACCCCAGGATGCTGTATATTAATCACAAGTACCACGGTGTCGATTACTTTTCCCTCGATTACAGAACAACTATCCAGACACTCCGATCCAACGAAGCCGCCGCTTCGAAATGTATTCAGATCGGACACACAGCCACGTGCCACTTTGCCCGCATACCACGTGACACTATGCCCCCTAGATTCTTAGTTATCATTCACGGATCTCTCGTGATCGACGTACACAACGACCACTTCCACCCGCCCCTGCGATCCTCAGTCAACATCCATCGATCGGAACGAAGGTATATCCTTCACTTGTTCACCGTCAAACTCACACTCCACAATTCGACTTTAATCCTTCTTGATCCTAATTGCACCCTGATGTGTCACTACCCTCTATCACCGAGGATGTCATTCGTGTAACACATGTGTTTAACACCGTTCACTTGGATAGATCACCAGAAAGGGTTAACGGAAATATATCAAACGGTCCACGTGTCCTCTGTGCTGCGAGTCTTCTGATCCGGCGGCGAGCGCGCGGCGTCGCGGTTCGAGAACTTGCACGCGACGATTCTACGCGAACGGCGTCGTTGACAGCGACCACCGGGAACCTTTTCCATCGAGAGTTCGTAGTTGACAGAAAGCCTTGGCGGGAGCTGCACGACGAATAAGGTGCCACTCCCACCCGCGCATGCTCCTCCACTCTGGGATCGTCGTGCCCTCTCCGTTCTGCGCGCCCTTTCTCTCCCGTGCTTCGTGTATCCCCCCTTCCCATTTCTGCTGGCTTGCCGATCCTCGCCCCGCGTTATTCTCTCGCGTTATTCGCTCCTTACCTCGCCCTTCGAGCTCTCGGCGTGGTGTAGGTACACGGTCCCTGCGACCGAGAGTTTGTACTCTTGCTTCGGCCCGCGAATTTCTTTCGTCGGCGACTATCGAAGGTCCCACGCGGGGCAATTAAACCATCGGTAGACGGAAATCGTGATGAGTGGGTCGGTTCAGACCCGTGGCGAAATCTCGTGTAAACGATTTAATCGAAAGCTTGCGAGCTTTTGAAGTCTGGGTCTGGTGGGACCTGTGTTTTTGTCATTCGAGGATCATCTTGTTATTCGTGATCGATTCGATTTCATTTGTTTCGTGTATGTACCGGTGATTATCAAAGTGGTGTATGTTATGTATTTTCTGTTTCGAAAATTCTTTCACAAGAATGGAATACAAATCGATAAGACACAAAATAAGGGGGGAAACTCGATTTTTGGGGGTTTTTGAGTTGCACCACTTTCATAATCACAGGCTTACATCATTTTTATTAAGATAGATGATAAGGATAAATGGGGATAAATCCCCATTAGTGTACAAAAGTGTCGATATTGAATTATTAATAAATATATAATAGTATTATGGTCCTATCGAGACTCTTTTCAGTGGTTCAGAATAACTCAGTAGAAGAGTTAAAGGACGTAAATCTAAACGGACAGTAGAAGTGTCCTGTGATATACACAAGAACGAAAAGTAAACTGGTTCGTACAACCGCATTAATACGTCCACTGTTAATTTGACGTTTGATATTTTTGTTTTCACAGAAACTTTCAAATAAAAGTTTCAGTCCCTTGGAATTCAAATATTTTCGAATTTCAAAGCGAAGTGGTCTCATAAATGAGACTCGTAGTCTTTCTTCCGCTCTGGCCTGCGCAAAACCGACCTAATTACAAACTTCTCTTTAGCGAAGTCCAATTTTTACCGCGGTTCCCTAGGAAAGTACGAAACGCGGAAGTCTCGTGAACTGGTATTTCACCGTTCCGACGAAGGACCATATCCAATGTCCTGCCTCTTTTATTATTGTTAATGCTGGTTTAAGGATTCACCAGGTTGCATCGTTCACGTGTAATGGAATACAGAGCAAGCTCACAAGTCTCTGATTATATTTGAATCAGTCGTTAGCTTCGAGATTCATATCACGTACGGTCGAAACATTATTCCATAGATAATCGGTCCACTCTCCCACGGATACAAATTACTATCGATTGCGCCAAGGAATTAAATATACAGCCCTCCCTGTACGATTAATCAAGTCACGTAGGAGCACGAAGTCGATAATCTGTAATGGAACGTGTAACAGATACTGTCACAGTCTAACCCGAACCCTCCTAGTCGATTATTCATAGAAACTGGAGAAAACTATCAGTGTACAGATTGAATTTTTAACAGGCGAACCCGTTGTTTGTACAGCGTCATACACAACGCCATTGTACCAACAACCGCGACCAACCTCAGACCAGCAATTAAATAATTAAACCCTCCACTTTGTCTGTACTAATCAAATATTCGATCTATCTTTAAAGTGTTCACTTAAAATTGAAATAATATACAAGTTTATACATTATTCATATTACAGTTATACGTACACAAGCCGATTCCTCGTACAAAAAAAAGTTCAAATTGTGCCCGTAAAAAATTGTTCATCCAAAGCTTGGTTCTTAGGAAAATCGACTGTCAATATTTATCTGTCATTGTCTGTAAAAGAACAGACAAAAGTCAATTCGTTTTTTAACCGACTTCGAAAAGCAGGAAGTTACAAAATTCGATGTATATGTCCAGCGATTACTTTGTAACGCATTAACCAATCGAGATGAAATCTTTTGCATCGTATAGAGCATGTTCCCATGGTGATCCCGTTTTCGAAAAATTCCCGATTTTTTTACGCAAAAAATCAGCCAGGGGACCTGTACGAAACAATTTTCACAGTTAATTTAGCCGTGCTCCGTATAAATACCAGAATCTCCGAAACAATCGGGCGCAACGCGTAAAATGGAATATCCCCGATTAAAATGAAATATCCGTATTGGACTGTTCAGCCTTTTAATATGTTTATTTCACTCCGGCCGTGGCGAGAAGCTTAAACAACAGGTCGACGGGTGTTGGGAGTACCAGCCATTTTGATTATGTCCGCTCGTCGCTGCCGCAAAGCTTCCGCGTTGATATTGTACACAGCATTTCACGCCACAATATGTCATCCGGTTATTCATGGCCGCTGAACGCACTGGGGCTAATTGAAAAATTCTTTCACGTTGTAGTCCTTCGAAGGAAACAGCGTTAGTCGTCTTTCCCCCTGGGGATTGGCGATGCTGAAGAGGGCCATTGGGGCCACGGAGTGGTTTCAGGGGTAGTTTCGGCGGAACGGTAACGGGGTTAAGTCAAGGTGACGTATTGGCATTTGGGGGTTCGAGTCATCTGCGTTAAGGAATGACTTTGGTCCAGAAATTTATAGAAACCGATTTTTTTTCCTTTTTATCTTTCGAATCTGCAACCTTTCAAGAATACATGTTTAACGTTTAATAATTGGTGAGATGAAAATCTTATTACTTATGAAAAAAATTTCTTTTTCCCATTCTTATCCAAGAAACTATTAAAATAAACGAACAGCTGTTTAAGTAACTATCGAATCAAAATATTCTACAAATATTCAAAGAGTTCTTTAGACCCCACCTTAAGGGTTAACACTTCGACTACCACGCGTCACCTAAATATTGCTTGTTATTTAGCTCGTGATAACGTGTAAACAATTTATATTACTCCATCAATGTACACGTTTATACCACCTGACCAGAAGAACGCCCCTTGGAGTCACGATTCAATACAAACAAAAGTGTCCTCGAACGGACACAAGATACGTAAAACGATCCTCCATGTTGCGGTGTTACATCGAGCAACATTTAAATCCGGTCAACGATTTATATCAATACAATTATTCCAAAATACAACCATTACAAATCCGTGGACCTCTCATCGGCTAACCAGAAATCGAGTTCCACTTAACATCACCGTCATCCCACCAGCGATTATTAATCGGGCGCGAGAGAGAGAGAGGGAGAGAGAACACGCGCGTGACGCTAACGACGCGATGAATAATGTTGATAGAGCTACGTGTCTGTCCATCCGAGAACCGGGGACATTTTTACGATAGAACACAGACGAACCCTATTACCGATTATCCCAGAGAAAGAGGATTATTCTCTCTTCTTTCCTATCCTGCTTTTATTAGCTCCGTGTTCTCTATTTCCGCGGGACAACGTGTTCTTCGATGTTTTCACGGGGACGTAGAAGCGCAGTGGAGGGCGAAAGAAAAAA